CAGTGGTAACTTTATGTAACTTCTGAATTCAAAGTCAATTAATTCATAATAATTTATTATCCCATCCTACTACATGGAGGAGAGCTAAATTAAATTACCACCATCTGCTCCATTTTGACTGCCACAGGTTAAATCTGCGCCAGCAGGGTCTGCCTTAAGCCCATACCCAAAGCCCATCTCCATTATCTCCCAAGGTGGATCTCCAGCAGCAGTCCCAGCTTGCTTGGGTGGCCTAGTCCATCCCCAGCACTTGGCCATAAACCTGCACTATTGCACGTGAATGCAAGGTGTTCCCAGGTAGCTCTCTGGAATCTGCAGGAATCCTGCACATCAGAACAGCGCTTCCCTTGTCTCTGTGTTGGACAATAGAAAGAAGGTTGTCTCTTAAGTCTTAGAAGAGCTCTGTGAGGAATCATGGCTGCCATCTGCATGTCATGCCTAAGTACTAAATTGCTAGGACTTGCTCTGACATTGCTACATGGTAAATTACAACTAGGGAAGACAGAGCAGATAAGGATAACGGTCATACTCTAGGTATGGGTCTAGTTTGAGGCAAGCATCTGCATTAAGTTGATGTAAGCATCACCATGCAACTTACTCTAGAAAATATATTCCAAGTGACAACACAGAAAACAGTTCAAGAAATACCTGGAAATAAGGCACTTAAGTGAGACATTAACAGACTGGCTACATATTTAAACAGACATTATGGCTCAGACATCCTTGCTCTGGAGGAATGAACAGTACCGTGCATGGAAGAAAATGGCTGTTGCATGCAGAACCCACTATCCGTTCATACTATTAAGGCGGCATTGTGTACAAGGAAGCATAGCAGGACATCACTGCTCTAAATACTTTGCTCTTTTTGAGTGGTATAAATAAAACTTTGGTCCATTACCACCCCTCCACCCCCCTAAACATTTACAGGCTTATTTCACAGAACAGCAGCAGTAAGCAAAGTTAATTCCACACAACGCACGTACCCTGAGACTAGAGTACAATGAAATACTGACAAAAATCAAGTCTGGAGGAAAAAAGGGAAAGGTCTTATCGACTGCTTAAATTAATTTGCCTACACAAACACCTGTTTAACTTTTTCCAGAGTAACAAATCCAATGTTTCACAATTATTTTTTGAAATGAATCCAGTAGGAAGTACAATATAGTGGAGTTCAAGTAGTATAAAGACAGGTTTTTGTTAACAGATTGTTGATGTCAAACAGCTGGAAACCCAGGTTTTAACATTACACTTTACAGCAAGAACAAAAATCCCTTCACTTGCTGCTAAAACACCAAAACTTTCCAGCCTGGATATGAAAACGAACATCCAAAATACAGAGAGACACAGCATTGGTCAAGTACCCAGTCAAAGACCACTTCTCTGTTGTTAGAGCTAATGGTTACTCTAAGCTTGAAGTTTCCTCCCTCGTTGCTGGAAGGCCCTAACTGCACAACTTCCATGTCAAACGTCACAGTCGATCCAGAAGTAACAGCAGGCAGTTGGTTTGTCATCTCTTTTCCATTTACAAATACTGCCCCTGAAACAGTCGAGATATCAAATGTTATTTCTCGCTTTCTGTACATACTAACATGCAATACTACGTCTCCCTATATTTTTGCAGGCAAATAGAAACGGAGAGCAACCCTGCCACGTTCCTTTTTGTCACGTGAAACAGGCTGCAATAACTGCAAGCAGGAAAAGGAGGTCTGTGATCTCACCAAAGGTTTTAACTGCACAAGCAGTACGTACATAAAAGGTGGATGAAGTTGCTCATACGTGATTCAGGGATATAAAGAACCAGGGGCTATGGGTTTGGGGAATGAAGAAAAAAAAAATTAAAAGTCACATTCTCACATTCTTCAGTTACGTGATTCAGACTCACCGTTTGTGCTGATGCACACAGCTTTATCCCGCTGCAAAGAATCATAGCCGTTCTGCTGCTCCACGCACACTCCCAGGCTGTCTCGTCTGTCTGGCTGTCCCACGGTTTCAATTCTACCAAGCAAAAAGTTAAGTAAGTCAAACCCTGAAGCTTTAAACCAAAACATACAATGAAATCCAGACAGCACTACCCTGCCACACCAGACCTCTGTACTGTGCTTGAGGGCTTTCAACAAATTCATCCAACCTTTTGGGGAGATCGCTGGTGAATGACCAGAAGTCCTACCACCTTTCCCAGCAGCTCCACTGACCAATGCTCTAACTATTAATCTGTACAAAAAATAAATCTGCTTCCTGCAAACTTTCATTGCTATTTAATAAAATTCTCCACCGTCGCAGCTCAGAGTCTTTTGAAATTATTTCCAGTTGTCTGAAACAACTAATAGGCGCAAAACTACACTCCACAACTATCTATACCAGATTACTGGTCAACATCCTGTATTACGGTAAGACGGCTGTAGTTTCAGCAAGTATTTAATAAGCATGACTAAAATGGGGGTTTTGAGCCCTGCTATATTCTGCTGTAAAGGGGGGGTGTGGAAGGTTGATTGATGTGTTTTGGTGGTGGTGGGCTGTTGGATTTGGGGGCGTGTGGGGGTTTTTTGTTCGGTTTGGCTTTTTTAATAAATCAGCTTGGTACAAATGGGTATTAAAAACAGTGCCTAGAAGAGCATTTACAAGTCTGGTTTCTGCTCGGTTGCATTTAGGATTTTGGTCCTGGGAAAGAATCTCCGAAGAAAAAGCAAACAAGTTGTGCAAATGACCTGGGATGCAGTTCCCTTTGGGCCCTAGCAGCTGAGCGAGGCTGCACAGTTTGTACACTGAAGGGCTCTTCTGTACTCCAGTCCTTTCTCTTGTACTGCCGTCTCTCAAAGGTGCTAAATCATACTTCAGAGAGCCCGAGTGGCTCAGGAAACTCAGATGGTCTTTTCTAGAAAAGCACGAGCGCAGTTATTTTCATTACAGCTTGCAGCACTGATACTTGGTTGTTGCCAAACAATAGAAAAACTTCAGCAGAAGCTTTTAAGAACTGGAAATTAAACTGGGCAGTAGACCGGCACACAATGGGTTAACTCTTGCAAGACAAACAGGGAGGACAAAATTGGAACCATGTTTTACTTTTGCACTCCATGAGGTTTCTCAGTCCCCTGGGAACGTCACTAAGATAGCAAAAGCCTTGTACTGTAAAGCAAAGCAAAAAAAACCCTAAAAATTTAATTATCCAAGAAGCTTTTAATTTGGAAGTGACCCACAAAGTTTTCCCAAAACAACTTTAAATGAGATTTCAAATTCATTTTGGTACTCTACTCTAGATTTTAAACTCTGCCTGAGTTACTGGTGAAGCTTTATAAACCGCTATTTATCTGTAAACTTGAGAGGTAAAGCCTTTGTGTGAGGTAACATTAATTTATTCCTTCCCTAGTTAAGGGAGCCTTTCTTGAGTGAGTTTTGCGTTGGAGGTAAGTTTGTACAGTCACAAGAATGACCAAAAATGCATAATTATAAACCCATTAAAAAGCAGGAATTCTATCACGTCAATCTGTATCCATACTTACTTGCTCATTTATATAGACATTTTTCTGCAGAGCACTGTCAAGGTAACCTGGACCAGCAACAGCAGGAAGAAAGAAGCCATCAAACAAGTAACAGGAGAGCGAATGCTCTGGGGGAGGAGCAATGGTACACCCCGAGTGGGAGCGTTTACACAGGAGTCACTCTAGGACCAGCTGAACGTTTTAGGTTCAGTGCTCTCAGTGGCATCCACACTGAATCCAGGCATCATGCGCTGCTGTATTCATCACACCCAGGCTCTCCAGCACCAGGGCCACCCTCCCTACACCACTGCCCTTACTCCAAGGGAGCGGACTGGGCTGCACCCTAACGCAAAGTAGGAAAGAGCCAAACCTTCCTTACCCCATAACGAGGAAGCACAACCCGAGTGCCCAAGACAACGGCCAACCTATAATTCTGCAGTGGCTTTCCTCCTCTTCCACGCACAGGGAAGAGGACCAGGATCTGGTGTAGATCACCGTTCCTTTCCTTACTAGGTTTTGATTTTTCAGCGATTAATAACCAGCCCAAGACAAAGAGCCCAAGTACAGTACAGAGCATCACTGCACAGGCTCCTAAGCTTCACTCTACTAGGCTGATTCTTCCTATCACATTAACAAAGTTATTCTCCAGCCTCTATGATCCCTGGGACTTAAAATTTTAAAAAGCCCACAGAATACATGGTAGGAACAATGCCCAGTGGGACACTGTTCGAATCCCTTCTCACCACTTCCAATGCTGCAGAGCAAAACCTTGCCTCTGTCACTGCAGCATATAGACACTGAACCAGTTCAGCCACGACCAGTCTCCATTTGCCTCAGAGCCCAGAGAAGTAAATCTGTGGGTGATCACATGCGCTTCTTTTGTAATAGCTGTCAGTAGAGTTGTGGTGGGTTCCTGACAAAGTCAGCGTGATCTTCGTAGGGCGTCTGCTGGATGATTCCAAATCGCCAGCCTGGCCAGCCTGACTGTGGCTCCCCACTGCAAGCAAGTGCTTTAGAGACAGCCGCAGAGCAGGTCACTGTGGAGAAACGTTCCCTTTCCTAAGGGCTGCTCCCTGAACGCTGCAAAGGAACAGGAGGAATCTTGACTTAAAGCAATGATGTTTTCCTACAACTTGTCCACGTGCCTCACCTCAGAGGATAACTAAAACAGACTATCTTCAAAAAGCAGATACAAAGCATTGTGTTTCTCACAGCTTCACTTTTCACTGATGAGGTATGCCTGCCTCCTGAATGCACAAGTAACATGAACCTTGCTTATTTGGTTTGCTCTGCAAGCTACTTATCCCCTTGTGAATACACTTTTGTTTCAACAGATGGAGAAGCGCCAAGTACTACATCTCCCTGCTCAGGAAAATCTCACACACCTTCAAACAAGAAGCTGCTCTTGGACCTTGGAAGAGGAACACAACCGATTTTTGAGGTTGTCTTCAGTCTTAAGATTCATTTAATTACAGTTCTTGTGGACATGTGCTTGCTAGTGCTCTGCCATCCTGAAACAATCTCCTCTTGGAGAGGAGTCCACATTACCAAAATGTAAAGCAAAAGGTTTTCATCTGTTACCAATAAAAAAAGATAAAAGGCATTGGTCTGAAAGAGAACCAAGCAAAACCTCAAAGTTCTGCCTTTAATTTCACAGGCATTTCTGAGCCAAGAGATGTTAAATCTAGCAACAGATTTCAAATGAAAGCTTTAGGTCTTTTTATCCCATCTCAGACAGGGCAACTGAATACATCCCCCATCCTACAGCCATCTAAAGATAATTCATTATCAGGAAGGAAGAAATGAAACACCATGGAATAAGTTACAAAAATATCATGAACAACCCCCTTAAATTGCCTTTGGGGGTTGCCTACTGTACAGCAAGTAGTTTTATTTAACCAGGGAAAGATGGACTAAAGCTTCAGAGTCTCTGAGGTCTGTAATTACAACTGACATATCCACAAGGACATTCCTCATAGCCCATTAAACAGCATCATGTCAGGGAAAGGACTACAGGCAGCAAAGCTGCCAAGGTTTTTAATCGCATTCTGTGTCAAATGAAAAGTTTGAATTTCACAAGATCCCTTCTCCACTCGAGTTTCTAACGCCAGTTTCAAGCAGTAGTCTGATCACCACTAATTATCTCAGATGGTAAAGACATCAGTGCCAGACTGCCATCCTTACCTGTCCCAGCAGCACATATAACGTTTTCATGTCCAAAGTCATCAAAGCATGTGCATAGTCTGGGAAGCAAAAAACCCACTGACCCAAGGTTAAAAAGAATCAGTGGCGAGCCTCCACCGACTCCTGACCAGCCAGTAACAACTGCTACAAAACTCGAGGAAGTTCAACACTCCACAGATTTGCTCAGCATGGGCTATATTTTAACATCCCTCAGGAGTTCGCTCATCTCTGTCTTAGATAGATGTGGGTCCTGCAAAACCATCAAGTGTTTTCCTAAAGAGCCAGGAAGTAGAAGTAAAGAGAAGGAAGTTCTGACTTCACACAGACATGCCACCTTGACTGGGGCTGAGCTGATGTACAACTCAAACATGCATCATGACTCAGGTTTACATACAATTCAAACGTAACGGACTAGAGGAAGAAGCTTGGTTCACAGAAGATGCACCAGACAACAGCTACCCAGGAAGTACTTGCCTGAATGTTAATGTTTGCCCACAGAAATAAGTAGGAGCTTTGGAGTAGAGCACACCGCATGACTGAGAATCATTTCGAAGTGCTATGTTTCTTCGACTGCTCAAGCTGTAACCCTCCAAACCGGTTGTCCACTCTTCAAAGAAAAAAAAACAAAACCAAAAACACAGCGTGAACCTCAACTAGACCAGGTACTGTCTGTGCAAAATAAAGTCAGTCGCAACGTCCACTCAATTTACCTCATATGAAGCTTAAGCTATGTTAAGAATAGGGGCTGGTTTTGCCACCTTCTGATGGAGAGATTTCTTTTTCAAGTCATTTGCAATTACAAAAAAGTATTTCCCAGCTCACAGGGTTCACCAGAATTTCACTCTTTGCTGCGATCCCTGTGAAGTCATATTGTAGGCAAAGGAAAACCTTCATGACCCACTGCCCTTAAAAACTTGCAAGCAAAGAGAAAATTTAAGTTCTTCTCTCTCCAAGATAAGAGCTCATTATGGGACTGCAGGTCATCAAACAATGCTTAGGTACGGGTGAGGGACAAGGAAAAAAAAATGCTTCGCTTGTGGCTCATTGAGGCTTTCCAAGGCTAAGCAGTGAGCTACCTGCTGGAAAGGCTCACTATCACTCACACTATGAAGCAAAGAATAAATTGTAGGATGAAAGGATAGTTCATCATACATTACACACATACATCATAGCTAAGGACACCCCATTGTCGTACAAAGGGCAGCTCCATAAGTCATTCAGCTATAGACCTTCAGGAGCGCTGCACTGATGACACAGGCTTAAGAGGAAGACGAACAGCAATGAAACAGTACCATGGGGAACTAGCGTGGTACGGCCGATCTGAGGAACACTCCACGGACTCCACTCTTGCCGTCCATCTCCTCGGGCACAGACTCTGAACTGGTAATCAACGTTAGGATCAATATGCAGCACTATGAACTCCGTCTCCAAGCCGACATACACATCTTCAAAGTGACTGGCAGTACTCTTACGATATTGCAGTCTGTAATCTTGTGGTATGAAGTCATCATCCACCTAGAGAAATATATCTTACATTAATAAAGGACCCCCTCTTTTTTTCTGTTCTCCTGTGAAGCGGCACATACTAGGGTAGTACTACAGGCTGTCAAAGGCAATTCAGAGTCACAAGGTATTAAAGAGCAGAAAGCGTGCCTTATAGAAAATAAAATCAGTGTCTGAGCCAACTAATACAAAAACCAGCATAATAATGATTTGCTCACAGTTTAAAAGTATCTATAGGAGAAGAAACATTTAACAGAAGGTTCTTCAATCTAGCAGAGATATAACAAGATCCTTCAGCCAAAAGCTGAAGACAAATTTGCAGAAGAAATCCAGCACCATTTTTTAACAGCAAGGGAAACTCACTGTTATTCTTCATAAACTGTTCCAGGGAATGATTTCCAATTCTTTGACATCTCTAAGTCAAAAGATTTTTTTTATTTTTTTTTCCCCCACAAAAGCTCCACTATCCCCCAAGCATGACCAAATTCAGGGAACTCCTCTATCGCACAGAAAGTCAGACCACATGTGACAACAGTGCCCATGGTTTTATAGTCTGAGTCCACATCCTTCAGAAGACAAGGGTGGCTGACCAATGGCTGGCTGTTGCTAGAACAAGAAGTTTGTTCAATGCTGCCAAGGAGCGCAGAGCTGTCCAACAACTACTAAGCCACATCAGAGCACAGCAGTGATTTACTCAAAAATAGTTTTTGTGTATTGAAGAGAAAGGCTACTTGACTAGCTAATGCCAATATTAAAATATTTTCTCTTTCTATCCACTGCATCTCCCTAAGAACACAAACATGTTCAGGTGTAAAAGTGTAACAGAACAGGTTCAGCCTCATCCTGGGTCTGCTAAAGCATCTTCAAAGGGCACAAAAGCATCACCCCAGCACTGAAGTCCAGTCTCATGGAGAGTGTTTAGCTGCTGTTGCCACACAAACAAACTACTCGGTTCCACAGCTCAAATGGCTACGTGCCAATCACCTGTCAGAAACACACACACCAGGATTTCTTGGTCCTGTTTGTACAACACCATCACAGATAGATTACTCGCTACTATTTATTTGTTTAGTGGGAAGAGCATATGAAGGAGGCGTTTCCTGCTTGTCCAGTACCTGGCACTTGCTTCAGCATGGGAAGGAGGGGTAGCAGTGTTTTCGGCTGCCCCTCCTGACTTTTCCACACACAGGGAAGGAGATTGTGAGGCAGAGGTGCATTAGTGTGCTGGCCCTTTCTACCTGCAGACAGGAGCATGTAGAGTCCAACAGCAAGAGTCTAACACACAAGCGTCACTGCCAGCGCCAACCAGACCACCACTAGATTACCTTGCCTTCAAATGAGGCCATTACCATAAAAATCTCTTCTAAAGTTTCTAACTACACACTGGAGTGGACTATTCCTTTGAAGGCAGTAGAGAATCCAGAATGAAAGTGGCTTTTTCAGTTTCTTTCAACAAAACTGAAGTCTGAATGATTTTCACCCCGGATATTTTACCTACCTTACACCATCGGACTAAAATACCTCCAGGCTTCTCAACGAATTCCTCTAGCTGTACAGGCGGGCAAGATGCCACAGTTCCATGTCTGAATATTTGATTTTTCAATATAGTAAGAAGGCAGTCATCCAGCTGGGCAGATAAACAAGGCACGTCAACCAAGGAGGGCACTTCTGGTAAGCTGAGAAAGGAAAGTTTGCTGTAATGAAAGGGGCCAGCTTCTACAAACTCGTATTTCGTCCATACACTTGAATCTGTGCAGATTTGCAAAGAGAGAACAGCTGCAGAAATTGGCATGTGCATTTCAAACTTAAAAGACTCAGAAAACATTGTGTTTCAGCCCTAACCAGACTGTCTGTTTCTCAGTAAATACTCTGAAATACAGGCTGTTGCACAAGGAGCGGTTTCATCGTTCACAAATAAACAGCCTATATTTCTACAGAACATATGGAGGTTGAAAACTACTCCATTCTGTGACTGCCAGTCCCAATGAAAGTCTATGAAACAAAGAGGACAGCAACACCTCAAATTAATCTTTCAAGGCAATGGAGTGGAAGGCTTTTGCTTCAGAGGAGAAAAGATCCCCTGTACCATGTGCCGCTGCCTCAGATCACCTCAGCGTGTCAGTATCTTACCTATCTAGCTGAATATGTAAAGCTTTTTTTGTAAAGCTGCACAGTTTCTCATTCTGTTGTCCCACATCTCCATGGACTGCACTCTCTCCTGGAATCAAATGGTAAAAATATTCCTAATGAGAAGACGTCCAAGAAAGGCATTCTTTGCTTCAAAGAATAACCAGTTCTGACACGAACAACCAATTAAACATGAAGCATTCTCAGCACTTTTGCTAGACTCTTAGCTAGAAAGTACAATTATAGTTAACAATATAAACCTATCTAGCAACTTCTGAAGCTCTCAAAGCTTCCTGTAGACACCCCCATAACAAATGTAATAATTTGCCTCAAGTCTCAGACAGGAGCAGAACTGGGGCCGGATGCCAGAAATCGGGATTATTAATCACTTTCTCCACCTGCTTTAAAGGAAGAAAAAAAGCAAAGCACCTTCACTGAGCAGAAAATAAAAAAGCAGGAGCTTAAAAGCAAAAAATAATTTCAACCATTGTTCTGCTTGCCACAATCTAAATGGTAACTACTGTCATAATGAATGAAATAATCCATGCATTAAAGTGTGGAGATAATAGAAATCTTTTCATAAACTTTCCATATAAAGTAGCATCCCACACTTCAGCTTACAGAGATGTATGCTCCATTCTCCTATCTGATGACTTTATGGTAATTTACAACATTAAGCAAGCTCGGTCCTTTTCCAAATGGAGGATTACAAACGTTACAAATCTCTAAAGAAAAGCATACGTCATAATTGGCAGCAGGAGATTTAATAACCGTGGAAGCTTAACTCCTTTCTGACTCAGATGCAACGTCTGCTCATTTTGACGACATGGCTTAGCAATGCTTCTACTACTAGAGAGGGAATGGTGACCCACGGGATAGGAAGCGCACAGCTAGTCAGGTTCTCCTGAGATCTGACAGAAACTTGGATAAAACACAGGCAAACTTTGCCACCGCCCTGTGATTCAGTACCTTGAGACTTAAAATAAAAACAAGGTGACTACCAGCTGTCCCTGAGGTTGCGGTGCTAGAAAAAAACCCCAACAAATTAATTCTTAAATATTGTCACTGCTCCTGTGAACAGGAGGCACAGAGCTACCAAGCCAGCATGGTCTTTAAGCGCAAAGCTCACGTCCGAGTGGAAGCTGGTAGACTTCCTACCCATGGGAGACTGCTCAATGCACTTTAGTTCAGAAAACTGAGATCACGCTGAAAGAAAGTTAAAGTTGAGACATGAGAACAATGCAAGGAAACTGCCAACATACTCATAGCTCAGACATGCTCCCAGTAGGTTCTCCAGTATGGGGAAAACAGTCAAGAGTGAAATTCCTTTCTGGCTAGGTATTTAGCATCAGTAGGGTACAAACTGGCCCTTACAGTAATATTCCACATCTATTTTTGTCTGCCTCATCCTCAGACTTTTTGGAGAAATTTTTCCCTATGCAGCGGCCATTCCATTCCTCACGTTCCCCATCACAGTGAACATAATCACACTTAACGGGAAAGATAATCTGTTTACTTCAGCTGCTATTCCATTAAGACACAAATAACTTTCTTCAACCAACAGAGACATTTTGTTATTATGGTACCCAAGATGTATTTTATTTCAAAGTAGCCTGACATAATCCTCTTTCTAGTGTGGAGCGGTGCAGGACATCTCTGCAGTGAGACATTTCCAAAGTAGATACTTCCTGCCCTTATGGAGAGGCTACATTGACATACGTACACCCTAGGACTGGAGTGAAATATTAAAATACAGATTTGTAGGAGATAATATTGATCAGCTCTTCACTACACCTACCCAACTTCAACCTCTTCTTAACATTTGGTTTGAGAGAAGTCCAAAATGAGCCAAATATGCTGATCGTAACAGGAACATTCCAGACTTTGGGAGACACGCACTGGAAGGTCGAGCTAAGACTTAGTATCAGGCCCTGCCTTACCTTCCCGGAGCAGATCATCGGCCGTACTGACTCCATGCTCTATCAGCTTCTGGCATTCATCCAAAGGTTTGATGCTCTCTTGTTCTATAGCATCCACTTCCTGCAGCAGTGACATCAGTCGCTCATCCAACAGCTTCTTTAGGGTCCCTTTCAAATCATTAAAATGTTGCTCAAGTACATCTCTGGTCAATGTTGCACTTTCTCTGATCTAAAGTCAGGTAACAGGAAAGAAGGATTCAGGATAAGGCAAAGGCCGTGCACATCTTCTAATTTTCTGAACCACCTCGTCTGCATCTGCTGGGGAAAAACTGCGTGTGAAGTCAGCTTTAAAAAAAGGACCGCTGCCAGGTAACAAGCTAGTGTA